CACTGGGGATCGAACTCAGCACCTTCCGGTTACAAGTCAAGCTCTTAGACTATTCAGCCAGTGAAACCTGATTCAATTGCGCATGAATTCTACCTTCCACCAGTTCGTGATTTTAGCGTGACCGCCAAACACTAGCTCTCTGGTGACTGCCTACAGGATGAAGTTGCCTGGAATTCTAGTGAGAAGTCGTGACCAGTGGGGGCCATCCAGTAGGCAGTGATGATGGTTGGTGGTCCCGCTAAAATCACGAATTGTTAGAAGCTGGAATTTATGAGCCACTGAATGGGGTCCCAGTGGCTGAATAGTATACGAGCTTGCTTTGTAACCAGAAGATCCTGTATTCGCAACCTAGTGGGTGCGCACTGATAACGAGTCCCAAACTAGGATGGGCGAAACAGCTATCCAGTACTTCATAGTTTTCAATGTTTCTCTAAATCGTACCTGTGTGTGGTGTACCCTGAAAAAAACAGAATCCTAACAAACTTTTTCTTGAATAATGAATATGCTAAAATGACTAATATTATCTACTGCTCCATTCAAATAGATATTACGGTGGAATCCAGTATTTTTGTTTGAGTAGGAACAATACCACTAACTGTAGATGCAGTTACCTCCAACTTACAGTTTCTGGAAACGCGATTCTTGGATTACAGAACTCTATCAACGAAAAATCCAAACTACATCATGTTAACTATGAAGCATAGTCGAGGCATGTGTTGTAGGACCAAACATTTCAGCAGATCCGACAGAGAATTACAGTTCAAGTATTGGTTTGTAGGGATTTGATTGGTTACAGGATTTTCATCATGAGCTGACATTAGTTAGAGAACCATTGGAAAACCTGGGAGTACTGGACAGCTGTTTCGTCCTAGTTTGGGACTCTTCAGCAGTACAGTTCAGTGTTAAATTAGTCTGCAGAAAAATCGAATTGAAAAAATGCTTTTGATTGTGTCTTTCTGATAAAAATCCTTGGGATTTTCCAATGAACAGAAAAAAGAGGATGATATTCCCTCTTTTATTTTTTACAGTTATTTGAGAGTATTTAATGTTAGTGATAGTTACTTCCCCTCCCCTATTTTTGTGTGTAAACTATTGAAATATAATTGCAATTAATTTTGATCTTCCCCACAATGCACACACTTTTAATTGACATTAATTATTGATGATTTTATTAATGAAAATTACAGGATTTTCAAAATTTCAGTCTAGACACATAGTGACTGTACCATTCAGTTCTACATTATCAAGGGAAAGAGTGAGAGATTTAGGAGAAAATTTGATCTGTATTCAAACTCTACCAACCCACCCTACTCCACCCCACCTCTCCTTGTGAATTAAATTAATAAACATAAATGTGATAAGAATTTTTCACCATGTAGACAAATTCTGTGTTTATAATTCACACATTTATCAAATTTAACAATCTTTATCAGTGCATCAGTTTGACAACGTTGAATTATTATGAGAAGAACGACGATCCAGTTATCATAAACATAGAATTTTGTAAAATCTCATTTACTAATACACCAAATAGCTAAACATCAGTAAAATCCAAACTGAATCATAGGGCCATACCTAATTTTTGTAAGAAAAAACCACAGAAAACTATATACTACTGATTGGTTTAGATAAGTAGTTGTCTATCAGTTACATGAATCATCAGTAGTATATAGTTTTTTGCAATTATATTTGCTTTCTTGTTTATCATTTATGACATCACGCAGAAGTTGGGATTCATGAAACATTGAATCAGGTCCCAGTGAATTAGTGGTCTACCAGCTCGCCTTGCAACCAGAAGATCTTCGGTTCGAACCTCAGTGGGTGAGTCCTATTGAAGAGTTCCATACTAGGACGAAATAGCTGTCCAGTACTGACAGGTTTTCCAGTGGTTTTCTAACCGATGTCAATTCATGATGAAATCCTGAAACTAATCAAATCCCTGCAAACTAACACTTTAATTTGAATAATTTCAGTTTCTAAGGGAAATCATGATGAAATTTCACCTCGAGCCACGTGAATTGCAAATAACTTGCAAATTGTGAACCCAATGATTAAATCTTGAAGTGATATAATAAGACCGTCATAGTAAACATCAATACTACCGAAACTTCAAATTTCTAGCCTGAAGATCTATGTTCCACAGGGAACGTAAGGGAATAAAACAAAAAGAATTAAGTTGGAAGAATACCAAAAATTCAGTTATCCAGAATAGATCTTTCATGGACCAGAATACGAGTCACACACATACTAGGAAGGTTGATGATACTATACATTCGTCCAGACTGAAGCCACAACCCATTGGTCACAAGTTGATGACTCAGGCAAATTAGTCACCTTAAGGCAAAATGGGTTATCTTTAAAAGCTCCAGCTGCTTCCGCTAACTTACACCATCTCTGGCGTAGGCGTGACATCCGACTATCAACCAAGGGACGTGTGTACTGCTCACCAGTTCGTTCCATCCTTCTCTATGGCTCTGAAACATGGCCAATACGAGTTGAAGACATGAAAAGACTGACTGTTTTTGATCATAGATGTCTACGATCTCTTTCTCACATTAGGTGATATAATAAGGTCAGTAATGTTGACGTTAGACGTAGAGTGTCGGGCAAAGAGGGAAAATCAATCGACGAGGCTATAAAGTTACATAGATTGAGATGGTTAGGCCACGTGCTATGCATGCCTAACCATCGCCTCCCCCACCCCGACGGGCATTACTAGCTGATATAGGTACAGGTTGGAAAAGAGTAAGTGGTGGCCAAACAAAAACATGGCCTCATCAATCCATGAAATCCCTGACAGTTAAACTGAGTCAGGTAGGGAGGAAGATGCAGACTTCCGGGTCGGGGCCCTCGGAACTCTAAGAAGCAATGGCTGGAGACAATAGGTGACATGGCTCAAAATCGTTGTCAATGGCTTACGTAGATGTATTCAGTCTCTTTAACCTTTCATATTCCTTTCTACCATTACTCATTCTGTTTCACTCTTATACTTATCTAAATTCTATTGATTCTCTTCACTCATTCTCCTGTCTACCTTTGTGTGCTATTTGGAACGTGGCAACTCGAACTGCTGCACTTCGGTGCCAAGTTCTATGTTGAATCCAGACAGACAGAGACAGGGTCATCTTTAAATTCAAAATCAATGCTCAGTACGCTTTTAATGATTTCAAGTTAGAGAACCACTGAAAACTGGTAAGGAGTAATGAATAGCTGTTTCATCCTAGTTCAGGACTCTTCATCAGTGTACACCAACATCTGAACCCAGTATCTTTTCGTATAAAAAAGAATCACTTCTGGCAAGAATGTCTTAACTAGTGACTAAAAATAGAGCTTGAAAAAAACGAGTACCAGGCTCGAGACTCAGTGAAAATACCATCACCCATTAGGCAATTCAAGTACATCCAGATGACGAGTCCTAAGTAGGCCGAAATGCATATACTGGATTCCACTGCTAGTCACCAATCACAAAATTACTTTAAACATTTGTCCAATTGAACTGAATTTGTTATACTACTAATCATTACCGTAGTTACTTATTTCTGTCCCACATTGAATCAGGTTATTCAGACTTAATAACATAGAATTTCGATGACATTTTAAAGATGGCAGAAAATCACTTTCCACCATACCAACTGTAGATATTATTATGATTAAGTTTACAAAGAGGGGCTTAGCAACCACAACTATTGTGGTGTTATCCAAATACTACATTGGTGTTTACACGTAAACGACGTGTCACTAGGCTGTTCAAGTACATTGAAATAAATGTATCCAGGATACTAGTTCACTTTAGAATACTTTTTTAATAGAACTAATCCCTTCAGTATGTTTATATTGTTAGGTTGAGATCACTTACTCTCCGTAATTTAGTAGCATAGTTACTAGGCTGTACTTTAGGTATTTTATCTCCAATGTATCCTAACTGAAGATAAGAGAAATGAATCATAACAGTAACTCGTATGTTGCTAAGTTATTCACATGGTCACATAAGGTAGTGTGTGATTCAGATTTCAGACAAAATATGTATTTATTTGAATAAGCCTTAGCAACATTCAGGCTATTGTTAGTCTTATTCTTATGACTTTGTTAAGCTGTGTTGTGTGATTCACTGGTCTATACACATACAAGCTTCTTACAACTGGGTCAAAGATTCATACTTATTGATCATAAACTTCATTGTAAAAAGGAGCCTCTTTGTTTCCACTGAAAATCTCTTAATTCACGGTATAAAGAGTAACACAAATAAATCTCTACTTATTTTACTCACCTAGAGATCATGACCTTAAATGACTTATGACTGACTCATTCAAACGATACTCAATCATCTCTCCAGGCCATGATGAAATGTCATCTTATCAAGAAAAGACAAAAAAAAAAGGATCTAAGATGACTGGAGAAATGTGTAAAGTATAGATAGATTAGGATCATCTCCGTTTGACTTGCTAATTCAACCTAACTACCACGCATATTATACGAGGTATAATAGATTATGTTTTTACGAGTTGATCACGGATTGATATCAGTTAGAGAACCATTGAAAACCAGGGAGTACTGGACAGCTGCTGTTTCATCCTAATTGGTAGAAGTTAGAATTCATGGGCTGGCTACTGAATCGGGTCCCAGTGGCTGAATGGTAAACGAGCTTGCCTTGTAACCAGAAGGTCCTGGGTTCGAACTCTGGTGTGTGGGTGCGTACTGTTGATGATTCCCAAACTAGGATGAAACGGCAGCTGTCCAGTACTCCCTGGTTTCCAATGGTTCTCTAACTGATATCAATCCATGATCAACTCGTAAAAGCATAACTAACCCTTACAAACCAAACTGTAGATAATAGATTATGCCTAGTGTTGAATAAGTCCCATTTGTCCCCCTATCTCATTCAGTAAAAATGCTTATAACAATTCATATTACACATTATATATTAAATAGTATACAAATGCACACATATACACATACAGATAAACACACAAACATGGAATGTCTTTTCATGAACATTAGTCTTAAACATCAGATGAAGCAAATCCTGCGGTTTCAGTTTGATAATCCTCCTTTGTTGGAACAGTATCATAATAAATTTGTTTACGATGGTGATTCCGTTTTCTTTCAAATTCTCGATGGGATTTCATCTGTTCATAGTCCGACATATCAGAGGATGATTCATAATCACTAAGATTGTCTAAAAATGAGTTTCTTCCGTCAGATATCTGACAAATAAGAAAAACAAACAAAGCAAACAAAACAACGAATTAAATAAAGTCTACGGATCATTTACACCACAAAAAAAAGCTTATTTTATTGCATAAGAGGACTCGAACAAGCAACTCATACTGAAGACCAGATTAAGAAAAAGGAACCTATTGACCAATAAATATGCCGAAGGAAAATGAGATCGACTGAACGTACGCTAGAGAGACTGTTAAGTTATATGGAGGATTTCATCATGAGCTGACATCAGTTAGAGAACCACTAGCGACTGGCACTATTCAGCCAGTTAACCTGGGGTTCTAGTGGGAAGCCGTGACCAGTAAGGTACAGCAGGTCGAAGATGAGGCAGTAACTCATCGAAGAAGACATTGCGAAATGGTCGCGCTATGTCGTGAATTGGCGAAAGTTAGAATTCAAGGACCATTGGATCGGGTCCCAGTGGCTCAATGGTATACGAGCTCGCCTTGTAACCAGAAGGTCCTGGGTTCGAAACCCGGTGGGTGCGTACTGATGAAGAGTCCCAAACTAGGACGAAACAGCTGTCCAGTACTCCCAGGTTTTCCAATGGTTCTCTAACTGATGTCAGCTCATGATGAAATCCTCCATGCAATCAAACAAAATTCCTACAAAAGCAATACTTGAAGACTGTTAAGTGATGGTCGCACACACATAGCCTGTGGTCAAGTGGAATTCGAGGGTAACATGGAGAAGGAGGAGATAAAGCTTACTGTCAGTCAACTAGTAAGGACTGCAAAGAATAGAGTGGAACGCAGATGTACTGTTAAACACATATGTTCCACTTGAAACCTAAGGGGATAATACTAATAATAGTAGTCTTGACTTTTTTCACTGTTAATAGATATTTATGGCAATTGGGCTAATTGAGAAGTTTTCTTCATAACACAATTATGATTATGAATTGAAGTTACTCTGAGGAAACAATAGAAACTTCCATGAAGTTCAAAAGATAGAAACTACAGTCAATAACATGAACCTGTAAGATAGATCTGTCCAGTTTTACAGGGAGTGAATAGAAAGCATAAAATTACTGCCAGTTATCTTCTAAGAGAGTTAAGCAGGTGTAAAATCCGTGGTGGCAAGTAATAACCAATAGACTTCAACGACAAGGTATACAACACTGGGTAAATATCATCACTGCTTCACTAGATCTGACTGACTGAAACTACTTGAATAAGCACTCTGTCTAGTTTAACAATCTGTTATTACACTTCCCTTCTTTTGGTGTACAACATCCAACTCACTAAACAAGCATCTCTAGTTCAAGTCTAAACTTGGTGTGTTTACTGATAGGTTTGTTTAACAAGAGCTTTAAACTTCTTATATTTTCTTTTCAACACCTTTTTCACAATTATCAAGTTAACATTCAACCCGACCTGTTTCAAACTCTAGTAATAATTAATATATGTGTAAAACTTGGGCACTGTGGTAGTAAGTAATTCCATATTAGTTTGTTTATTAGATATATTACACAGTGAAACAGTATTAATTTACTGGATAACGTTTCGAACAAAATTTATTGTTTATAATCATATCAATTATAATCACACGACTTCAAAACTTGAGTTTTTTTTTGAAAATACGATGATATTCATATCTTGCTACAGCTTGGGAAAGTCGATAGAGTTTATTGATTAGTCTTCGTACAGGAAGACTTTAAGTCATATTAAAATGTGTGTAAACTCAAGTTTCAAAGTCGTGTGATTATAATTGATATGATTATGACTAATAAATTTCGTTCGAAACGTCATCTAGTAAATAACACTGTTTCACTGTGTGATACATATAATAAACAAACTAATATGGAATATAGTAATAATTGTTAACTAATCGATTTTTATTTCGATCTCCATTTGAATGACTCATAATTACTTACCATCACTGCAATTTACCAAAAATCCCTGTACTGTTGACTGTTACGTAACCTTTCCTCATCTTTTTTAGATAAGTCACTATATTAATGATCGGAAACTGCCCTCCCTCGCCTCCATAAATCAATAATAGACTGTCAAATGTTTGTTTTTTCAACAAGAAATATGAATACCCTGAGTTTCAGTTGACATGCTTTCATGGGTATAATTAAATCTACCCTTATATTATAAACCTAGTTGCTTTTTGTGTGTGACTAATTATCACTCACCACCGCGGTTTGACATGACCATCTCAACTAATTATTACCAGAAGGGTGGCGAATAGACAATATATTGTTATATATGTCCAAACCAAGTTCACTTTTAACAGTTTCAAAAAAATTGGACATTGGGTATACGATATTACTTATAACGAAGGTTTTCTTGTATTTTCCAATGAATGAAAAACAAAACGATATCGTTTTTACTGACGTTTCGCCATTTAATGCTACTGTTAATAGCTTTATCAAAGTATTATTAAACCAGAATTTACAAAATCCACTCAGCTTATATATAACAACTTGATCGTCGTTCCTCAGTATGGGGTCATTTTTCGTTGTCAAATTGGCCAATAGGTAAATATAACAAAACCAGGTGTAGATTGTTGGATTTGATAAGTGTGTAAAATTATAAAACAGCATGCGTTTACATAATGAAATTGCTTATCACATTCGTGTTGATTTTGTCATATTGTTTTTCCTTTACGTTCCCAGCGGAACATAGGGTTTCAAGCTAGAGGCTTGAAGTTTCAGTAGCAGAGGTTTTTATTTTTACGGGATGGAGTTACTAGCCTCATGCCCAACCTTCCCTCCTTACCAGCCTTGTTACTCGTTTGGCGAGGTAAGGGAGTGCGTCAGTTGCCGGGGTTCGAACCCTGAACCACCTGCGTGGTCGGCGAGCATTCTACCACTGTGCCACCAACGCGATTTTGTCATATAATGCAAGAAATTGTAACCAGGTCAAATTCTGTTTTAGTCCATCATTCCTATTCAGACAATTTGGATTCCACTTGATATGAAGTGCTTCTGATATTAGACATTCTTTGTGATTTCTGAAGTTTTTCTGGATGATGATTTCAGTATTGTCAAAATCAATTTTGTGGCCTGATTCTATAGTAGACCAACTATGGCTGATGATTTTTCAAGCTTTTCTAGTTCAAGTGGATTTCTCGGTGGTCGAAAACATGCTCTACGGTGTTTATTTCTTCTGACTTTGATTTCTCGAGAAGTTTGTCCGATGTATATCGCATCACATTCCAAGCATTAGATGGAGAATCTTGTATTAAAAAGGTTACATGTACCATAAACTGGCGTCCGTGGCTTAGTGGTAGAAGGCTGGACAACCACGCATGTGGCTCGGGGTTCAATTCCCGGCCGGCGCACTCCTTTACCTCACTAAGCCGGTAATAAGACCGGTAAAAAGGAGAGGTTGGACATTGGGCTAGCAACCCCATCCCGTAAAAATAAACAACGCTGCCAACGAAACTTCATAACTCTATCTTGAAACCCTATGTAGAGGAATAAAAGAAGGTACCATAATATGTTTTTCATATATGTATGAAATATGATTGTACAGCCTTTTCAAGACAACTGGGATTGAGAGAAAATTGTATTCACACATTGAAAAGTCGCGTAGTTGTTCTTTATCCTTCCTTAAGGCTGAGGAAATATATTGTAAAAAAGTTGGGCACTGTGGTAGTAAGTAATTCCATATTAGTTTAATTATTAGATATATCACACAGTGAAACAATGTTATTTACTGGATGACGTTTCGAATTTTTCAGTTCTACTACCCCTACGACAAATAGGACAGAACAAAGAAAACTATAAAACTCAAGTTTCGAAGTCGTGTGATTATAACTGATATGATTATGAACAATAAATTTTGTTCGACTCGTCATCCAGTCAATAATACTGTTTCATTGGGCACTGTGGTAGAGCATAACTCCATTATGGATAAGATTTTATTTTGATAAATCACAGTGTTGTACAGTAATATTAACTGATGACCACGTTTCGAGCACAAATTATTGCTCATCATCATATCAAGTCAAATATATAAAAAATTTCACAGGACACAATTTAAGTAAATACAAATTTTCAGTGATTTCTAACTATCCCCTACAGTTACATTTGGAGGATCATTCCAAGACTAGGGAGGTTCTGAACCGTTGTCTCGTTCCAGTTTGGGACGCTACTGAAACGGCATCGAACCTGAAACAACCTCCTACACCATTCAGCAACTGGAACCCAATTCAATGACAATATGGTTAGCAATACAAATGTAGATAATAATTAAATCTATTTCTTATGTCCTCGGGAGAGATAACCATTTTAGTTAGGGTTTAGGAATGGGAGTGGACAACCTTTTTCTGAACATAGATTATGGTAACTAACTCAGTTATGCTTAGTAATCGAAGACGTACAAACTTAAGCAATCGATACGGTAACTTGTACAGAATTATAAAAGCTAAATTCTTATCAATCTGGTTCCCCACATCCACTCGATTGCCTTGATGATTCCTTTTTCTAACCACAGTGAACAATGCTTAAGAAATAGGTAGTGTGTTTACCCAGTCGATTTTTACCCACCACTGAGAAACAGCTGTTCTTATCTCTTTATTCTGTGACCCCTTTTGTTATATTTTCATGAATATTTTTGCACTGTTGAGTGAACAAAGAAATCAGACCGGGCACTCATCAAATAGAACCAACAAAAGTCACATTAACAGAAACGACTGATGTTATTCACTCACTCAAGTTTAAGGTGAGAAATATATGTGGAATAATCATTAATCATTATAGTTGTGATTATGACTCATTCAGTCAAGGTTAAACAGATCGATAAGATCGACAAAAGACCAAACTATCTAGAACCAAGATCAGAATGTCTAATGTCACAATGACAAAGAAAGAGGTGAGAGGGTGAATAAATAGTGGTAGGGACATATATGGTGTTCATCATATATGAACTAGTTTCGCATGTGTATGTGAAGTTGGATGAATACAAATCAAAAAAAGGTTAATTCATTGTAAAAAATCAATAATTCAAGGTTAACCTATTTTATTCAACTAAAAGTGAACTTGGTTTGGACCTATATAAAATTATGCACACATATCTAATCCGCGTTAAAGGCATCATTTCTAAATAATTCATTAAATTATCTATGTCATAATAAGGAAATGAAATAGATAAGTCTTTCTCTGTGAATACAATCAATAAGAAATATACTACTACTACTAATAATAAAAGCGTTATGCTTTTTCAAACACACTAAAAACTTCCGTTTACATACGTTAATATATGCAGATGGGTGGATACGCACATATGTATGCCTACACATATTCACGGACATGCCTAGAACAAATAGCGCGCGCCTGTATTGATCGATTTAGTTATCTATTGGAAAACTGATAGAATCCACAAAACACCGGAGACAATTATGACGTCCACTCGTGTATCGTTTTATTCATGTGCATATTTAAATCATGCTAAGTTTCATTGTTCATATGGTAATAATCGATAGTAAATAAACGCGTTTATATTATTACAGACTGATAACTTTCACAGAATGATAGAAAGAAAATTAGGAGCTGAGGAAGAATTGTTGTATGTTATAGTTGAAAAAGTTGTAATGATCAAAGTAGACTCCGCCTACGTGAGCTGATTACCCTATCCAGTTGTCCAGGAAGAAGTTAACCTAAAAATAGCCACCTTCTATATGACCTCGAACAATCTCACCTCTTAACACATTATTAACTTCAAATATATTCTTATCACATGTTCGTGTGTGATCAGATTGTTCTATGTGTTGAGCAAATGTATTACACGTTGCAGACAAATTACGTCTTCTTATTGCTTTGTCTAAAGTCATAGTAAGGCCACATTGAGACTGCTATATTTGTCGATAAACTGTATTCTCCGTTATAGTATTGCAATATGATCAGTTAAGCATGACATATGATCCATCATCTAGACTAAAACTAGGAAACCTGATCAAAGGTATACTACGAACGCTACCATGTATAGCGTCCATAAAGAATTATGTGATTGGTTGGTTCATTATTTGAAAATTCTTCAGTTGCGTCATTGGCGGTGGCTGATATAATTAAACTTCGCCGTCTGTCGACTGTGTGAAAACCCATCTGCGAAGCAATCAATAATTGCTTTGTCACAATTAGTTTCAAGCACATATATATATATATATATATATATATATATATATATATATATATATATATGATCGCCTTCTGTAGTACCATATTTAATAATATGTTGATAACTGTATAGCTTGGAAGTGAATTAGAAGGGAACACACCTCATCCGACTCCAATGTAAATAAATCCGGTGTACAGTTAAAATTGTCACCATTCAGTAGATTTCTTGTGACATTAAGGTCCATCTGTTGATACATTGAACCGTGAGGAAAGTGCTGACCTCTGCTGTTTTTGTTTCTTAGATTACTTCTTGACGTTTTCATATTCAAATTATCTTCATAGCTGTTATATTTATTTAAAGTTGAATAATTTCGTTCTGGAGAATCCTAAATGAGGAGAGGTATAAAAACAGATGATATTACTCACAATATAATGAGAATACGAAGCAACTAGAAACGTACATCTTAACTTGATTCATATATTCTATGGATAAGCTGTATAGGATCATGTATTGCTTACTAATTTAATTGATCAGAAAAATCTGTCATTTAGCTTCACTACTTGTTAAGGTTATAAGTAGGAAAACGATTTTGAATGAATTAATATCAGTAAAAAGTTGTGGATGAGATCAAATAAAGTATAATTATATTTTAACAGTTTACACACAATGATAAGTTTTGTTAGGAGAATAGGGATCAACTTAGCATTCTCGTGTCTATTAACGGTGTGGAAACACACCTTTTAACACTATAGATTTTAGCTTCTTAACTACATTCGCTAATTGCCTGGGAACAATAACGAGTATTAGACTACGCACTTTCACTATCACTCAATGGTAACCTACGCAAAGTCAGTTATTTCGATTCTAATTTATTTCTTTAAAAATTGGGTAACTTGCCTAATGGTTTGAGAGGCTAGACAAACCAAACAATACTATTGCCGATACTAAATATAGAGACCCAGGTAATTTCAAAGAACCCATCGGCCTCGGTCTATTATAATCGAAAGGTAGTGGAAATCCTCTGATGCCATGCAGCCGTAAGACAATTGACTCTCGATGCCAATACACTGTAATATGAAATTCCTAATTTAGTCGTTACGTAACACCTGGGACTCGCCGTCTGCTATTACCGTCGTCAGGCTGCTTGGATTCTCAGTTCCCCACCATCGATTGTGATCGGCAGTGGACCCCTTGAAATTTACATATTTGATAACGTCAGTAATAGTTTGGTTTGCCAAGCTTTTCGTGCTGTTACGCAAGTTACACCGACGAGATCAATTGTTACCTAATAACTGAGAGTATATGATATCCACATCTGCTTATCTAGTTAGAAAAACGTCAGTCAGCATAATTCCGTGTCTAGAAGGTTGACCCAGACAATTGTCTGCCTCTTAAATTAGTAAGGGTAAGACGACACGGTGGGCATTCTGAATACCGACCTGACCTAGTTACTCAGCTTTCAACCGGAGTCAGACGTCAATAAGAAAAAATCGATGTTATTTTGACATACTTGAATGGCATCAGAGCCCCGTCCTTCCAAAGCGTCCGTTATTGATACCCGTGAGCCAGACATATGCGCCTCCCTCGAATACTGCTGCGTAAGCCACACCGAACGACTTTGAGCCATCAGTTCCCTTTGGTACTTGCGACGTCGAGACTTCACAACCGACCCGGCTATCAGTAGTAGAATGCTGAGAGCCATTAAGACACCAAGCGAGCTAAGAGTTATGACTACATCACGCTGAACACCCGAGTAAGATACGTACGGAGCTACAGGGAAGCGAAATAGTAAGGTCTTAGGAAAAAGTCATAATACCAATGCTACTAGAAATATGTACGCAAATATAGCTTGAAGAAAACCCTAATCCAACTCGTATAACAAGCAAAAAGTCGGAATTAGGTGATGGCATAACACGTTTATTTGATGAACTTGAGGAATAAATAAAATACAATCTGAACAATCAGAGTCATAATAATAATAATAATTGAAATATAAGACAAATATGGGATTTATATACAGGAATAAAAAAAGGGACAACTACATAAATGCATTTATTTCTTAGCTGCCTTCTTTGGGGTCTTCTTCGCGACTGGCTTCTTAGGTTTCACCGTCTAGAAAAACGTGAAGAATAATACACCATAATAAGAGCATGTCCAACAATACATCAATCAAGAAAATTGACCATGAAGCAATCGTGTCAACTTACTTTAGGCTTCTTGGGTGTTGTGGACTTCTTTGGCTTAGCTGTCTTTGGTTTGGATGTCTTGGCTTTGGCAGCTGGTTTGCTTGGATTGGAAGATGCTGACTTCGCTTTGGTGGTCTTTGGCTTCTTGGTAGCAGCCTTCTTAGGAGATTTCTTGGGTTTGGCAGTCTTAGGTTTTGCGACTTTCTTTGGAGAAGCTGCCTTATCTGCAAGCTTGAATGAACCAGAAGCACCAATTCCTTTAGTATGAATAAGTTTTCCTGATTTTACACCGGTAACCAGAGCACGACGTAAGTGGCTTTCGGCTCGGTCATCAACTTTGTAGTTAGCCTTGATATATTTAGCAATTGCTTGACGGCTTGATCCTCCACGTTCCTTCAATTCCTTAAGCGCCTTCTTTATCATATCGCCATAAGGAGGATGAGCAGACGGAGCCTTCTTTGCCTTTGCTGACTTCTTCACACCAGCAGATGCTTGGGCAGCTGGAGCAGAACTTCCACTAACTGCAGCAACAGTCATTTTAAACACTCGCTAAAAAGACAGGTCACACGATTTACGCTCATTCGTTTATGAGCTTATTTATATAAAATAATTTCCTGACCACAACGTAGCTAAATTTAATCTGCGTGTGTATTTCACTTCTAGCATACAGCATAGGCGATGAATACCATGGTAAGGTGAATAAAATGTATTATATCTCCTCAACGGTTGATCGTAAAAATATAATCTATACACCGTTATATAGCTTACATTCTGGAGAATCTCGCTACATAAAAATTATTAAATTTTATTTTCTTATCTTAGAAAAAATTAGTGAACAATCTAATTTTTTCGCTGTGTTGCTTCGTCTATATCCATTTAATCTTCAAAAAATTTCCTCAGAATCCAAGATATTGCAACAAAAGTTTGTATTCTGATAGAGGACTAATCATAGATTAGTAAAATGATAACGAACACCGGAATCGAAAACTCATTACTTGGAAATTTAGGGGAAAACTCAGCCTATGCTTACAAAAAATTTATCATAGGGGATTTCCCTAGTGAGACAAAATCATGAGTTGTTTGGAGAAGTATAAGAGGAAATCGGCTAAAAAATTAATGTATCATAGCAGGGATGTATTCTGACTGGTATGCAAAGTTATAGTTGAAAATTCCACTGGGAACCCCAAAAATTTAAGAACTGTATTTCATGCTGTATTCTGTTAGGCTAATCTTTAAATGTCGTTATTGAATTAACACTTTTAAGTCATGAATTTTTGCCTTCTTCTTTGTCTTGATCATTCACAACACATTGTTAAGACGTTAGCTTCGTTGAAAATGTGTAGAATCAGTCCTGGTACAGGGATCCGCATAGGGAAACCGGTTCATGGGCGCATTTACCAAATTCATTATAGGAAAGGGTCTTTTCCAGCGGATTTTGTGGCTTCAACTAAGAACTAAGTTGTTCTTACTTAATTTATAAGAAAAAAGTGTGGGTAAGTTTTCGGATAAACACTGGAAAGCTTTAATAGCCCCCAAATGTAACAAAACTTGGTTATACACTTCATAAAGTATGAAATTTAAAGTATTACATATCGTGAACTTTGTTTACTAAAACACTGTGTTAGTACAGTCATAAAGCAAGAGAATTTCACTAATGGCTCACAGTTTTACTTCTTAGGGATATGTTCACTACTGAGACATGCCTCTCAGAAGAATTTACCTACCATGTTTCGCCTCCATTTAACTCAGTATTGATGTATGGAAAGGTTGTAAGAAGTTACGATTGTCAATAGAATCTAACCTTTCAAATCATACGCCTTGTGTTTTAGCTATCTGAAGAATAGTTCCTTACTGAATCGTTCTGTTAAAACAGATCATTTCAGATATTTGCCTAGACAAGATGATTCAATGAACTTTTTATTTGCATGCATCATACACCTATACCTACAAGTTGGCCTGTATCTAGAATTAGTAGATCTGTTATTTCTATAGAAAGATTAGTTCATATGTAATTCAACAGAAGACAAGTAATTCACAATGAAATATTATGCTTTCCCTGGAGAAAATTCTCTTCAAAATAGTTTATGATATCCTAATAGTTAAACTTTTGGCAGAAGGAACACTGAAGGCTGAAAGAGTTAGCTAGTAACAGTGTGATCTGTCCTAATATTTAACTTTAGCAACTTAGTCATTACCCATAGAGTGTTTGACTAATACTGCAGTGATAAGCTTATTTTCTATTCATTCTACGGAGAATTCAGAGAAAATTTGAGCATACAGCTAACTATAGGGTAAATTATCTCTGAGTAAAGATGTAGTAATAGGCTTTACACCCATACTTATTTTATTATTATTCCCTTGGGTTCCGAGTGGAACATAGGGCTTCAACAACATATCTCCACTTCGTTCTATTTTCTGCTGTCCTCTTCAAATGGGACCATGGTTACCCATAATCTATCATCTCCCCCTCGCCTAGTTTACTAGCTCGCTAGCTTTCTAGCTTGTCCCAAGCCCAATAGAGAGGAGGGGAGTCGCACGTGGGGCTAGCAACCCTACCCCATAAAAAAACCAATCAAACTGCTACAGAAACTTCACTGCACAAAAATATAAAAAACAAACTTTTTCTTCTCTAGCATCGGAGAGGTGAAATGATAGAGCAGGCTAGTGAAAGCCTTCGGGAAGCCAGTCAGCCAGCAAGCCAGCCGGTGTGCTTTATCTAGATGAAAGCAAGAATAAGAATGGGCACGTGGAATATATACGCACAATCCATACTACATCTAATCAAATGTCTCCAGTTGAAAATAATGTATATTTTAACCAGAGTTATCCCTTATTTTAGAAAGTCATAGTGCCTTTAGAATATTGATTTGTGCTGAATAGCAAAAGTGTAAGCTTTCTGTTTAAGTTACAAAAGATTCAGAAATAGTTTTTGCCAAGTTTTCATATTCGTTTATCTCTACAGACACTGGCAGACAATATTTCATCAGATAACAAACACTCAGGATACAATTCCTAGTGGGTGTTTAGAAGGTGATGTTTTCTGTTTGAACAAGGGGTGATTGATTGACTGGGTGACTGACGAAACAACCTAGGACTTTTCACAGAAGTGTATCATATTTTTTGAAAAAAAGTACTCATAAATGCACAGGTAAGAAATACAATGAAACTGTAACTGGCATACATAGTGAAAAGAAAGTGTAATAAAAGATTTCCACAATGTGAAAGGTAACACGGAATGAAGACATCATCATAGTTGTAAAAAGGATTGTAGTTCATCTGAGTAAGAGTTTCTAACCAGTGATTCTTAAAGTTTTGAGGACCACAACTAGGCAGTTCATACCCATGAAACATATCTCAGATCTACAGACAATGAATTTATGGACTGTTTCTTTGTTTCGAGTTTCAATAACCTTTAATAACTCTTTGACAAACAAATCCCCTCTCGGTTAACAACATTTCTCGTTGAAGTAGACAGTTGTTTAGGCATGAGAGTAACAAACATCCTATTTACCTCATCTCTCTGACCTCAAATACCATTACATCAGTAAAAACACTCACTTAAGCTACAAATCTTCTCTATTATTTTAACAATCAACAATTTCACCTTTTTCAGCCTTAAACCATGCGTTGGTTTAGACCAGTCCTACAGTATCGGTCATATTATGAGTGCATATCAGGTACACTGAAGTCAGTAAATATAAACTAAAATACTTCTAAACTAGCATTATGGTCATACTTATTCTATTTATTATTCACTGAGTTTCTGTTATCCAGAAAACGTGATAGACAGAACAAAGAAATATTGATTTTAGTGTGTTTCCTGCCTTGTGGATAACATACCTTGGCACTTGAAATGATACGTGCTGGAAACAAGTGTGTCTTAAAGGGAGCGTCGTAAACTTCATGCGAAACAAGTAAATCCACTTGACAAGTACTAAATAGAATGAAATAGGTAGCCTGTATTCCATTTCTAGCAATCACTTATCAAATAAGAAGTGTTGAAGTGTTTATTTTATTCTTTAGCTTAGTTCAATCTTATTTACCAAGCGAATATTTCATTCACCATACACCCACAATGATACAATGCAGAATAGAGGTTAGCATGAAGAATTTCATTACTTTCAATGTTGTACGAGATCAGAATCTACCGTCGAACTTGTGAGGCCAGTAGGCCGTTCGAAATGCTTTCAGTGACGCTCCATGTCTGTAAGTCATACAGAAACACTGACTTAACATTAGTATGAAAACACCAGATCTTATTCTTTGTACTGATCCCTGTAGATCTTCATACTGATTTCAGAGTACTGAACACCTGTCTCGCATTCTCTACTGATCTTGTCTGACTTTAACATTCTCACCTATACACAGTGTATGCAGTTGAAACAATGTTGCCCAGGTCATTTAAATGAAATAGACGGTTACGTTTAGATTCTCCCCCACTGGTAGTGATTAATGCTTGTTGTCGGCTGTCAGACATCTTCAGCCCTTCAGTCTCCTCTATGTTCACCTACAGAGGTGTCTTCACTAGGTTTTTTGTCAACTTGCTGGTTTTCATTTGTAAATCTTAGAGTTTGTACGAAATGACAAATAGATCTCCTAGGGTTGCTATGTCAGTCGAACATGTGATCATCTTTACACTCTCTACGATCTGCCACATGCCCCAGCCCACCATAATGACGAAGATCATCAGTGATAGTGGGCAGCCTTGAATTGTTCCTGCCTTTTTATCTCAAACGCTTCATTGAGCTTTCTATTTCGAATTACTTGGCATATGGTATTATAACATCGCTGTTGAGTGAGGCTGATAAAGGTTTACGGAATTTCATAGTGTCGAAACAACTACGAAATTAATTCATGGTTGATGTGGCTGAAGACCTTTTCAAAGTTGATGAATTTGAGATGAGGGGAGGTGATAGCCATTCTAGGCTGTGTTTAATGATGATGCATAGTGTTGCAATTTTTTTTCACTGAATCAAACATATTCCGTGCGAAGTCTAAAATCTAGGGCATCTCTCAGTCTTTCGCGGATGATTTGACTAATACCCTGTTTGGAGTTAACAGTGGCATAATCTCCCGCCCGTTCTGCAACAGGTTTATGTCTCCTCACTCTAACGGTTTCACAACTTAGCTTTTTTTTCCAGAGTTCAGCTTCCTTCTAATCTTTCCACACCTTCTGAAGAAGTAGAGTGAGTATGTCTGCTGAGTTCTCTGGATCCGTTTTCAGTGCTTTTGGGGGAATTACTTATAGTATTAATCCTTTCTCTGTTGGCTTTTATTAATTTTATGGAATTCACTGGTAGTTTTGTGACTGCTGGTGATAGCATTTCTGAAGAAGTTGCAGGTGGTGGTCTATTCAAGACTCCTTCAGAGTAATTGTTTCAAGGTTTTCATTGTCTCTCCCCTTTTGCAATTAGGTTTCCTTCATTGTCTTTCATTGATTTCACCGGGGATTGATCTTTTCATGGATAGTAACCTGGTTATTTGATGTAGTGTTGCGAGGTCTGTCTCGCCTGCAGTCTGTTCTGCTTCAGTTGCTA